GAGAATCCGCCAAACGTTTGGGCCAAGCCAAGACTAACCGCTAAGTGACGAACTTCCAAGCAAAATTTGTTGGTGAACAAGGGAACTGTGGGGCCAGCGCCATTGGCAGGAACGCCGGATATTTAGAAATTCAATGTGATCTTCATGATCCTGTGATTGGGCTTACCTCTAACCCCATTTGAAATAGCTGAGGTTCTGATGGCATGAAGATCGAGACTAGGTTCCATAAGAGTAGGGTTCTGAAGAACAAATGAGGCTAAGCCCAAAACAGAATTTAAGAAGTATAAATATGAATGAGCAAAAAAATTTGTTCCGAAGGAGTGCCCTTCATAATAAGCAATGCCACTCCCTTTTTGGGCGGCGTTCGGCTTAGGAGGGGCATTTTGCATTTTCGCTACTTCCTCTTGCCAGTTCCCGTTGAATTACACGTCAAGCTTTGGTGAGACCTGTGGACCCTTGTAAAGTGTTACGAAAGTCCTGCTACTGCACAGCTTCACAGGAGCTTTCGGGTCTTCATTGATGGCATCGCCACTGATCGATGAGAACCACCAAAATGCCCCCTCCAACCCAACTGCACCCTTTTCTATTGATTTAGGTAAATTCAATAGCTTATAATTGAATGCTTTAGTTCTACCTACTCTTCCTCTTCTACGCCACCCACGAGGACGTTTTAACTTGGCGCTCATCAATTAGCGCCGACCGATCTGGTGCATTTAACTTTTACACAGCGGGTGGTAGGCTGATCTCTAAGCAACCGCAATCAAAAGAACTGTAATTGCGGCGGCTCGCGCAAGCCTTTGCGCAAGAGGAAACGTAAGGACACCGCAATCGCGCACACCTCAATAAGGCATTTATGGGCTAAGGGCGAAGTCACATCTGTTACTGCGCTCTACTGCGTAGAACTTATGGGGGTAACGCTGACCCGGCGACCTGTTCCTGCATCCTTCGACATTCAATCCGTTCCAACCTCTTATGTAACCTCGTTAGCCGAAGAGCTGCAATAGTGGCATGCACCGTAATGTTTACCGTACTCATAAATCGTAACGATATCCGGTAGGTGCTTGAACACAAGCGCCAAGTGGCACTTCGACTTGGTGCGTGGAATTTTCTCATAGATCGGCAAATCTGTCGAACATCTGCCCCTCAACATCACGCAAGCACATCCATCTTGGCTTTTAGGCCAGTGGATAACCCTTCAAGGTCCTAGTCTGATTCCTCGGCGACCACCAAAGTTTGGCGCGCCTCTTCGGCAACGTGTCCTTGCCTTTGTTTCATATGCAAATTACGGACTTAGCACGAGCCGCGCCAGTCTTTATTCAATGACGATGTGTCAGATTACTGTCGGTTATTGTCCGTCATTTACAGCCACTTGGATTTGCATAAGTTTGTTGACAGTCAGCCGCCTTTCGAGAGCGGCTAATCTGAGGTACTTTTAGCCGGTCCATCGACGAGCAAGGCCACAATTGGCCCTCCTTGGCCATTCAGTTGACCATTTAGTTCGTCATTCAATAGTATAGCAGATATACCTAACTGGACGCCTACAACAGTGGAACTATTGTTTGAATATCGAGCCGGTTACGGTATTAAGCCCAGATTTGCTAGGGAGGGTTTGGAAAAGCATTTCATCCAACTTTGGGCCTACTTTCCATTATCCAGAAAGGCGGGTCACAGTAAAGATAGGGGCCCAAGCAAGAAGGATAGTCCCAGCGAAGAATTTCTTAAAGACAAGCCCACCAGCCACTCCGCCTCGGTCGAGTGGGAGGGGCATACAGGCAGGCATCCCATCCCCTATCACGTAAAGAACCCAAAAAGATGACTTAACCTGAGCTGAAATTTCGTATAGTGTCTGCTTTTGAGCAACTTTCTGAAGAATAGCTTTTTTAAGCGAAAGTCATCAAAGAAAGTTTCTGCGGCTGCGGCAACCTTCGTCTAGGAAAGGCTATTACCAGAAAAAACCTCCAAGAGATGGTTTTGCTGTAGCAAGTTCCGTCCAGAGAAGTTGTACTACTGGGCCAGAAAAGTCCAAGAAAGGGTTCCGCTGCAATGATGATCGGAAGAACCTCCAGAAGTAGGTAATCATGTGAGTTAGCTGATTTACGGCCGCGGTGCCACTTTCCACGGGCGGAATGATGGTAATCTCCAACGACGATCAAGTTGTAAACCACTACCTAAACGCGTACTCTAATTGAGTCATCAAAGTCGTCGAGCCGACAGTAACCCCCATAGACTCCCCACTGACCTTTAATGGAATACCCGCAGAGTTCACTCAGGCTTCCCACCAAAGAGCCCAATGGACAGATCAACCGGTCGTGTGAATCCGTGCAGATGTTTGCGTGTATGGCCTCCAATCAGTATAGAGTTTCTTTGTTTGGACACCGCTCCAACCTGCACATGTTCTCAGACCTGAGCGCTCGGGTTAGTGAATCCTGCAGGTATCATGCCATATATGGAGCACTTTGACAGGACACTAAATCATTCTCGAAAGACCCGCTCGGAAGCCATTTATCTGGGGTCGTTTCCATGGAAACTTCCATGATTGGAGGGATTCATCTGAAAGACTGTAGGCAGGAATTAGTCGAGCGGAAGGCTAAGGAAGTCTAGAGAGGAGATTTAAGGCGGAATTTTGGTCCGTTGTGAATAAGGATGTGGACCATTTTAGGCTTTACTTCCGCCCAACTGCTGTTCAGAGTAAATGGTCCGCTACGAGAATGTACCCATCATTTGCTCCTAGGAATAATGTATTATTTGGCTTCAAATTGTTGATCCTGTGGCCTTTCAATCAGTCAACTGAGAGAGAAAAGAAGAGAAAGAAAAAACAAGGCAGAAAAGGGAAGAAATACAGAATGCGAGTAGTGAGTGCCGCCAAATACTCATGCCTATGAAAAAAATTATTCCGCGCGTCTAATATTTCTTCTTCAGACGCGTTTTGTAGTTTAGCTAGCTTTTCTCTTTGTTTCCTCCTCTCTCAGCTTGCTTTTCATGGAATAAGTTTCTAGTATTTCTCAACTCTAAAAAAGATACAATCACGCTTAAAGGCGGCCCGATCTCGAACAGTTCCAGGGCCTTTCTACCTATGACGCCCCGAATAGGTTTTTTTTTTGTAAACGCGATAAGATCGGAGAGATTGCGACTGCTCTGGAAATATGTGTGTTAAATTCTAGGTCAAAGAAGAGGCGGAATTAACACAATGTCAAGTGACCAAGTGGCTTACCACGTGCCCGGCCAGCGGGTTTAGTGCGGAATCGGCTCCTGCCCGAAACGACCAAGAAATGGAGCAGATTCGTTGAGAATGCAAGAACGATTAACTTGTACTTTATTTTGGTATCTCTTTCGAGATCCTATTATTTGGCTGGTTTTGTACAACTGAAGGGTTTATTTCAAGTGGCTCGGACAAGGCTTTTGAATCGAAGCGAGCAACTTCTTCCCATACTACGCTTCTCTAATCTGCTTAGTCTTCAGATCAGAGCTTCTTTCAAAGTTTTTAGGGGAGTTATGGTTAATGTTGAGTTAGAGGTACTGTAGGTACTGTAGCAGTAAGTGGCACGCTTATACACCATTCGTGGACCCGGTTATCAAACTTGATACGGCTGCCGCGCAGGCGGTCAAGATTTCTGCGCTTCGCGACGGTGGATGTTTTAGTACCGTTCCGTTTGGAAGGGCAAGAACTCTAAGTACACCGCCGGCCTGCCCCGCAAGTCGTTGTATGAGCCACATCGCATTCCATGCATGTTTCCTTTTTGCTTTTTTTCATGAACTTTCAAAGTGGATGAACTTGTTTCAGAAGTCAATCTTTAGCCTATGGAGAAAATGATCAAATGTTCGCTTGAATGGGGTCCATGCAGGGGCCCAAAAAAAGCTCTTGCAGTAGTAGTACATCTTGGGTATCTTCCGCCCTGGTACTCGTATCCACGTCGTCTGTCTGGGCTGCGTAAACGTTACTGATATGTGACTCGGCAAAAGTGTCTTTTTTTGACCCCCCCCCGTATAGCAGAATCGTTGATCAGTTCAAATCAAAAATGTCTTTTGCTGCAGCGCTCTGCCTCTCTGCAGTAGCACCCCCCTCATTTTGCCATCGTTTACCCAACACATTTTCGCTGGATCTGAGGAACTCGCGATAGTGGAATTAACCCCAGGCTAAAAAGTAAATTTTCCATCAGGCATGACCCTGGAGGGGCAGCTCAAATCATCAGAAAAGCTCCCATTCCTTCACAATGATTAAAAGCTTTTCCTGGGTTTTCTGATTCTCACTAAGGGTTTGTTTTGCTACATTTCTGCTTTTCTTCCCGAACTAAACCTCATTAAATTGGCTCCGAAATTCTCTTGAAAACAAGGGTACGTTTAGGCACAGTTCGGCGGCGGAGCGGGGGGAGGGGACATTTTGTACTTTCGTTGTTTCACTAGTTCCGGTTTACAAGTCTCACTCTGGTGAAACCTGTGAACTCTTGTGAAGCTGGAGCAAGGTCGTCAAGCCATCATGGTAAAACCTGTCAACTCGAGAAGAGGCTGTCTAGATAGGTCGACACGTCGATGGAAGTGGCAAAGTGCAAAATGCCCCCCCCCCGTCGCCGAACTGCGCCTACTTTAATGAAAAGTTATGAGCGAGATTTTTGGAGTTCAGCGCCCTAATTTTCACCCGAAAAGAAATTGAGTCGACCAGATTTACGGACTTGTCACTGTTTGTCAGCATTAATTATGTGAGACGAAGGGAATGAAGTAGAAGCGAGCGTTTTGCACCTGCAAGTGCAGGGTCCAACACCACGGGTGTGGAGAGCTCAAGGACACCCTGAGACGCGCTGGCTGACTGGGCGCGATAAAAGCACATCTGCAGCGCGCCAAGGGCCAGTAAAATCTATCAAATCTTACAAACAAACGACTTCAAATTTATTATTATTTATTCTTTAATACTATTTGTACAGAACCCGTGATACAAGACAAGTGAATGATATAAGGGACGAGTGAGATCGAGGCAGATTGTAGCTCAGCTGGAGCAGAAGCAGGGCTCATGGAAACGGACGAGCACCTGAAAAATGTAGAGATAAGAAACTATCCCGTAATGATGGCTACAGAAGGGCGAATTAGCCAAGAATTACCTGAATTATTAGGTTGTGGAACCACTGGTGGGCCATACATCGAATGAATAGGGCTAGGATGTTGTGAAGAGGTAGTGGAGACTGTTGCTGACGTGGGAAAATAGACGTCGAATTCCATTTCAGATTGGGCATAAATACCCTGGTTCACTGTGCAGGTAGGGGTTGGATAGCCTGAAAATTGGTCGGATTAAGTTACATGTTAAGCTTACTGTTTACTTATTTATTTATTTGTTAATTGTACAGGCAACTGCTACACTTCTGGGGCCCTTTGGCAGATAAAATTTCAAAGAGACTTTCAAAGAGACTGTTTTTTAGGCAATACCATTTCAAACAGTCGTTCAAAGCTGTCAAAAGAAATGTAAGAAGAGGCGCGGGGGGGGGGTGGATAGGAGAGCTTCCCTAAGGACTCGACGACCATAAAGGCAATTTCTGTGGAGCAGAGCCCCATTTTCGCGCAAAGGAGTAAATTCAGTCTAACTTACAGCTCCTGCTCCTTAGGTCCAGACCAAGGAAAGTCGCACCTCGGGGATCCTCAATAAGGGGGAGAGGAGTTGCAGAGGAGTCCGCTGCCGGAAAGAGGGGTCTTAGATGCTTCAAACGCATTTTTAGTTACTCTTTTTTCTCGATTTTTTTTCTGCTTCAAATGAGCTGTAGGATGCGGGGGGGGGGCGTGGCAACAGAAAAGAAAAATGGGGAGGGGGTATTCAGCTGAAATTTTATTTAACGACAGGACGTGTCCTGGTCTAGACAGAATTCCCAGCTCCAATATGACAATTGCCTATTTCACAAGGGCTGCAAAATCTCCTTCTTGCCGCCTCCAGAGAAAAGGAATAGGAAAGATAGAGTGATAGAGTAATAGCAAATGATGTGTCCAAAGTATTCGTAACAGCACAGAAAGACTGCTCACCTGTCTGATTATTGCCACCCTCGGCATGTAGTAAACTCTGCAGGTACTGTATATACCGTACTGCTTCTCTTAAAGTATCTGCTTTGGAGAGTTTCTTGTTGATACCTGCCTTGGGCACACGAGTCCGCAACAAGTCAAAGCCATGATTTACCTAGAAAATCGCTTTCACCAAGAGGAATCGAAGAGAAATACCGTATTCCTCCGTAGAACTGTTGGGGAAAGAGGAGTTGTTTGAATAAAAGTAACGTTTAATATTAAAAAGAAGAAATACCGTACCTGATGGACCCGATTACGCTCACGAGCGTTTCGTCGCTCCTGATTAGGACGAGCTGGTCGAAGCTGTGGTGACGATGGCATGAAACGCTCTACGACACCGACACACGCGGTACAGTGACCACCCGCGCCAGCGTGATCCTCAGCTCAGCGCTCCTCCCACCACTACTGAAGCCCCGCCCCTTCGGAGGGCTACGGCTGTTGCAGTGATAGGCGAGAATCTCTAGAAATCAGAAAAGAAGACTCCTTCAAGGAAAGCAATGCTGGAAGATTCAATTCAAAGGAATACAGTAAAAAGACGGTATTACAAATGACAAATTAAGGTTGCAGCTGTGGAAGTAAAGCGGATGGAAGTTTAAGGTTAATGTAGTGGGTTCAAGTAATTCACCAGAAAGCACCATTAGATCACCAGCGCTGATTTCTCTCTTCTTGAAGATCTTACAGACTATTTTTCTCGCATCACGTGCTACTTTTTTGAGTACTCCTTCGGAAATTTCAGAAGTTCCTTCTCTGTTAAACACTGACTGGTTATCGGAGTATGGTGCTGTCCCGGAGTCTCATTACTTATCTGAATGTGTATAACAATGTGAAACTCCAAAAGTTTATTCCAAAAAACTCAAAAGACAGCAAAAGTTTCTTTAAAGTTTTTTTTATTGCAAGATAAGATATTTTGAAAAACTTTTGAGACTTTTGCTGTCTTTTGAGTTTTTTGGAATAAATTTTGGAGTTTCACATTGTTACTACACATTCAACTAACTGGTTATGTAATAAAGGGATTATTGGGAATATCCAGAAAGGGAGAGGGGTCGCACTTGTTTGCCGAAGATAGAGGGTGGTAGGTCGCTTTTGAGAAAAATATTTCTGCTGTTGACTTTTCTCGATCTTTTCCGTCGCTCATCGAGTTTTGGAAAAAGTCTAAAAAATTTGGCGAAAAGCAGGCAAATTTTAAGAAGATATCGAGGCACGGGGGGGTTAGAAGGCGAGAGCAAGGGGCGGATCCTCAAGAGCAAACCTTGAAACAGGAAAAATCAGGCAGAAAAGTTACATCAGTATCATACTCACTGCTAACGATTAAGATCTATTTCGTTCAAATAAAACCTATGAACATGTTCCACCGCACATTCCTCCTTTCAGAATTTCTAGAAGCTTTCACAGGAGCGTCGTGTGGCTTGGTGGGGATTTATGCTGGCTTCCCATCGGCCACTACTGATGTTTTTGTGAGACCTGCACATTCCTGTGAAGCTTTGCCATGACAGGAACTCCGCTTAGGACTCGACACGAAATTCTCTAGGTTCCACCAAGGTAAGACGCGTAAGTCAACAAGAACTAACACAGGAAACAGCGAATAACGAAAGTGCCCTAGCAAGCCGGAGGCGACAAAAGTTTCACTTTAGAACTTAAAGGTTTCATTAACCAATACTACGCGGTTAAAGTAAATCAGCACCAAGAGCTGGAGAAAATCTAAAATGCCTCCCCACCCATTCCTAAGCCGAACAGCGCGACAGTTGGTACTTATATTTAGTTTGATTAGGTTGATCATGATCGTGAAGGGAAACACCTCTGGAATCAGTTCTTTGGAAAGTAAATTGCTTATCTTAGCCAGGTGCACGTCCATGAGCTTTGGAACTTGTGCAAGATCCAACCTCCTCCCTCCCCTCATATTTTTCTGCTGCTGACCCTTCCCGCATCTTTGCCAGCTGCTATTCGCTCGTCTTCATGTTCCCTATTTTCCCAACTTTTAGCCGCAGTTCTGTATTCCTTCTCTTTAAAAAAATAATCTTTCGTTACGGGTTGAGGGGCATAACGAGGAGGAGGGTTATATAGCGCAACTTTATAGGAAATGACGGGGAACCGAGAAATCATTATCCGAAACATTTTTTTCGTGAGCAAATACTATCCCCCCTCCTTCTAGCAAGCAAATACTGACCTCCCCACTTCTCTCCAAGGATCCCCAACATAAACGTGCTGTTTTTTGGCGGACATGATGGCCGCCAGACATGAGGTTGCGAGCTATGTTCAGTCGGAATGGGCACGCTACAAATCACCTCCTAGATCATACAGGATCCCCTCTCTTGACTATTTGATTTCTTTTTTTTTTGATTTTTGAATACGGTCTGACAAATCGAATATTCACCCAGTTCCCGTTCAGTCTTCATTCGATTTGTCGGCATCGCGTGCTCAGCCGCCTGTTCTCTAGAGGTTTTCAAACCGGGCCCATCTTTGAATATCTTTTCTCGGGGTGGTGAAGAATATTGAAATGGAAAAGGTGCACCAAATAAGGCCCAAAATAAATAATTGCATAATGAGCTCTTCCGAAACCCTCCCAAGGATGGAAGGCCTCAACTTGAAACAATCCGGTTACCCTTTACTAGTAAAGTGATCAGAACAGCTGGCCACTGAAAGATTTGTAAGGCATGACCGGTTCCATGAGACGCCCGCTGTCGCCTTGGGTTCTTATAAAAAGACCCAATCACCGCCGGGATTTCCTCAGCAAACGAGGAAATGAAATCATTTCGAAATGACCGATTGGTTTCGAAATGGTTCTCAACGGCAGCCACGAAGCAGCTGGTGTTCGGAAGCCGCTCGTGGCTAATCCTCCTGAGTGTTCCAAGGTTAAATGAAAACCGATCAGCCGCCATGCTTTTCTCGCCGCACCAAGTCTCTTTCACCATCTCCCACTGAGTCCCTTTGAAGACGACTTTTGTTCTCACAGCGTGGCTGTTCACCATGGCAATTCACTGGAAATTAGGCGTTTTCCGCTGAAAACAGCTGTCTTTGAGATGCCGTAAACGCGGCTCGTAGAGCGCGGTAAAAACGGTCGGCGAAAAAACGATGAAAGTGCCATCCGGGTGGTCGACTATGGTAGCGAAAAACCAAACGTCACGATTTGCCGCATGCAATTCACGACGGCCAGTATGACTCCTCGGGAAACAGACTGAGCAGTTGTTCGAGTGAAAAGCATATTAAACTAGAAAAATTGGTTCTACGAGTTCTGCTATGTGGATCCTTCTCAGAGGATCACGCTGTAATAAAGTCTCCTCAAAGTCTCCAAAGCAATCATCTCTTCCCATTTCTCTCTCAGAGTTCTCCAGGGACCAGTGAGTTGGCAGCAATCGACAGGGAATCGGATGAGATGTTGGGTCGATTCGAAAGGGGGAAATACTTCGAGATGTTGATGTCAGGCATCTTTCGCGATTCCTGTCCATTCAAGGTCCAAGCCTGGGTTTGAGCGTTTCACAAGTCATTGAGCCAAGTTTGGCTTGGAGGGGTGTTTTGCTGGTTCCCATCGACTATTGCCGACGCCTCCTGCGGAGACCTGTAAATTCTTGTAAAATTATTCTTGAGAAGAACCTATAGGTCTCATCAGGGTTAGACTTGTAATTCAGCAAAAAGTAGTGAAAAAATCGCGAAGTAGAACCCCACTACTCCCCCTTCCAAGCCGAACTCAGCAGGAATAGGTGTCAAATAGACCATATGAAACAGCGCAGAGAAAAAAAACGTATGACACACCATGTGGGTCACGTGGTCTAGAATGCCTCAAATTGATTGGGCAAGGAAGCCTACAATCGCACTGGAAACGAAAGTGCGAGACTACCTTAGAAAGCATTCGCGCTATAGGGATACTGGCCCGTGCCAGAAGTGACAGTCAATTCACACTTCTACCAGCTCAAGACCTGATGACACGGTAGTCGCCAATTAACGGCTGCCCATCTCAACAGTATCAATGAAAGTTAGCTAATTAGCAGAACTGTGAAGATTCGCTCGCGAGCCACGGGCAAATCATTGGCAGGAGACCTAATCCGACAACGATCGGTGTGAATTACTCAGGCTGATCCTGGAGCTTTGGCCAGTAATAAGACGAAGAAGAAGGAGTCTCGCAGTAAAAAAGAGAGAGCTCTCTCGACCGGGAGCAAGGGAATCCGAATCGCCGTTTCATCGCGCTGC